TTTTTTTTTTTGCGATACGCAGGCCTCTCACTGCTGTGGCCTCTCCCGTCGCGGAGCACAGGCTCCAGACGCGCAGGCTCAGCGGCCACGGCTCACGGGCCCAGCCGCTCCGCGGCATATGGGATCTTCCCGGACCGGGGCACGAACCCGTGTCCCCTGCATCTGCAGGCGGACTGTCAACCACTGCGCTGCCAGGGAAGCCCGCATCCTGGATTTTATATCACTGCACCATGGCGTTGTCCCTGTTGAGGGAACCCCTGTGACCTTTGAATGTCCTTTGTACAAGAGTTGGTAAATATGAATCTTTGGGCAGCTCTGGGTGTTTCACATGGCAGGGAGTTCTTTCTTTGGTTTAATTTCTTTCCTGTGACATCAGCACCCGTCCCTACCCCCCATATTTCTTGAAAATGTGTTATACTCCCACGTCTGTGCGGTATGTAAATATTTTTAAAATTCTTTTTTACAGCTATACCCAAGAATTAAACCAAGACAAAGGAGCTTGGCTTGAAACTTTGCACACTTTTAGTTAATGAAGAATTAATCTGTTACCAATAAGAAGAAATAATATGATTGTTTGTGGCAAAAATTTTGTAAGACTTATTTTAATGACAAACTAACTTGAAAGCAATGAAGATCGGGCTCTGGAAGCAAATGAAGGCTTGGAGCAGAGCCACTGTTGGTGGAGGATACTCAGCACGACGGAATGAACGGAGCTTGGCAGGAAGCTGACCACTCTGCGCTGGATACAGGTACTCCGTGTCACACTCCGAAAGATACACGGTGACCGTCCTGTTCTCTGCAGGAAACGGGACCACTTATTGGGCTCCTGGGAGATCAGCTGCGGGGCCTGCTTAAATGGGCGTTTTTCATTGCCTGCCCCTGTCCCTGCCCTCCCACCGGAAGGAGCAGTGCCATCATGATGCCATCTCAGATTGTCCCCCAGCACCAGCAGGCCCGTGGGGGACTCACATGGAGGCTCGAAGGTGCCGCACACTTGCGTGTCGTCTGTGAAGAACTGTTTGTTGGTTGTCAGTGAGCAATAACTTTATGGTATGAGTTCTTGTAGCGTCATGTATTCAAAATATTGAAACCACACTACACTACAGGTAATTAGATTTAGACTTTTGTTTTTAGGCCGAAGTTTGAATCTATATTTATTGTCTTTTGTATCTCGGAAATTAGAGACTTGCTATATAGACTTACCCGTGATATTTGTCAAGATCATAGCTGACTTTAAAAACAATTGTAATAAAGTTAAACTTTTTGACTCTAAGCTTTTTACCGGCTTTAGTTTTTTTATGTCACGTTAACAGCCTTGTTTAACGTTCCTAAGCCATTGGAATATCGTACCCTGCTGAAAAATAATAAGAATTTTCTTCTTTACCAGCCATGTGATTAAACGTAAGTATTTCTTTGCTCAGTTTTGCAATTTGTGAGTTTCGTGGCGGTCTTCGTTATAGAATTAAGACGCTTTTTAAAGATCCTAGAGGCCAAACTTGTACCTTTACCTAGAGCTTCTGATAGGCTGTTTCAGTGTCCTCGTTTTATTTCAGATTCTTCTTAGAGTTATATACATTTACGGGATGAAAACTTAGGTGGAAACAGTCTGCACGTCGTTTTATTAATATGTTACCAAGTTTGTGAATTTTGGGGGAACTCATTTTGCTTAGTGAAACTGTTTCATTTAATAGAAGATACAGGTGAGAAAAACCCGTGGTCCCTTTTCCTTATACATTTTTATGAGTAGCTAACTTCCAGCAAAAAAGGAAGATAGATGAATGACAGAACATATGATGCCTTTCAGAGTCATGCAGAAGTAGTGACAACATGGATGAAACATCAGAAGACCTGTGTGGTAGACAGAATTCTAAAGATGCCCCTCCAGCCCCTCATATTCCTGTCCTGTGGTGCTGTGGACTGACTGTCTGTGTCCCCCTAAAATTCATGTTGACGCCCTAACCCCCAGTGTGATAGTATTTGGAGGTGGGGCCCTTGGGAGGTGATTAGGTTTAGGTGAGGTCCTGAGGGTGGGTCTGCATGATGAGGTTAGTGTTCTCATAAGAGGAGGAGTCTGGTGCACTGTGTGAGGACACCCCAGGAAGGCTGCCACTCTCACCAGACACTGAACCTGCTGGCACCTTGATCCTGGACTTCCCAGCTTCCAGAATCACGAGAATGTTATTTAAGCCACACAGCCTGTGGTATTTTGTTACAGCAGCTTGAGCGGACTGAGACACCTGGTTATTTAATCAAGCACTAATCCAGGTACTGCCGTGAAGGATTTTTCAGATTTAAATTAAATTTACTAATCAACTGACCTGACCATAGGGGGATTATCCTGGGCCCATCCCAGATGGGCCCAACTTGAGCCCTTCAAAGCAGGAGAGATGAGGCCGAAGGGGAGGTCAGCGAGATTTGAAGTGAAGGGATTCGACCTGCCATTGCTGGCTTTGAAGGTGAAGGGGTCATGAGCCAGGGAATGTGGAAACTGAGGAAACCCCTGGCTGACAGCCAGCAAGGAAACAGCGACCGCGGTTTTTACAACGACATGGACCTGAATTCTGCCAACCTGAGTGGGCCTGGAAACAGATCCTCCTCCAGTCTCCAGCAAGAATGCGTCACCCAATAAGAGAGGTGTTGGACTTTAACCTACAGAACTGGGAGATGGTGGGTGTTCTTCAAGCCACCAAGTTTGTGCTAACATGTTACAGCAGCACAGGAGCCAAAAAAACAATGGATTCTCATCCTGGGCTGGTGCACTTAACTCATCCATCCTGTGACCTTGCCCGGGACACTCAGCCTTGTGTGTATAATCTGAGATGGGGTCGAGGGAAACCATACTAAGTACTATACGTGTAGGTACCTGGAAACCCGCAACAAATTGCGCCAATGTATGAAAAGGGAAGATGGGAAAATTTGGGAAAACGTGATCATCTCACTTTTATTTCCTTAGTCCGAAACTTAGAGCATCATTTGTTTTTATTCTCCCTTTCGGGGTGTTTTTACTTGCTTGTTTTATTATCAGAATATCCGTATATTAAAGCTCCCTATAGGGGATTCCCTGGCAGTCCAGTGATTAAGACTCCACGCGGCATAGCCGGAAAAAAAAAAAAAAAAGCTCCTTAAAAGTATAGAAAAAGGTTATGAAGCCAGGGGGGAAAAGACCACTATGGAGCCAACCATAACTAACATTCGGGCCTGTTTCTTTCTATTCTTGCTTATGATTTTCTCTTCACATAGTTGAGAGCACACTGTTTAAGCAATTCTGTATTGTCCTGTTCTATGCTTCACGTTGCATCACATGCATGATTTTTAATGGTGGTGTAGTATTCCACCACGTCATTCATCCAGTCGTTTGTGTTGAACGCGTGGCTGCCTTTCGCTTGTGTTATCATCGATGCTGCGCTCACATCTTTATGGGAGCAGAATTTTTAGATTGTTGAAAAAACAAGTGGGGATAAAGCAACTGGAGAATGGGCCTTGCTAAGGAGGGTAGGGTGTAAACTCTAGCTGTGCTCGGAGTCTAAAGGCAGTGGAGCCACCGAGGGGTTTTAACCAGGGGAGTACGGGAGTCAGCCAGGGAGGCAGGCGAGCAGGGGTTTCCGAGAGGGAGAGGGGACGGCAGGGACGGCAGCACAAAGTCGGGGAGGGTGATGACAGATACGTGTTCATAGCTTTTGGCTTTGGGAGGTAAGTGGTGATCATCAAAAGCAGTTTCAGGAGAGTGGTCAGGCCATTAGCCAGATCGCAGAAGGTAAAGGAGTCCCAGAAAGATGCAGGGGCGTAGCTGCTGGGGAAGCCTGGCTCTGGGGGAAGGAGGGGAGGCGGGGAGGAGGTGGGTGGTCTGTGTGTTACCAGGTGGCAGGCCTAAGGCACCTGAAAGAGAGTGTGAAGAGAGGGGCCAGCTGATAGGCTGAGACTGCAGTTCAGAGCAGAGACGGGGAGGGCTTTTCTTTTGGACTGGAGGGAAGGGAGCAATGGGGGATTAGATTAGGGTGACTTCCTCGGGGCAGAAGTCTGGGGGGCATTTACTTTATCATCTGGTTCTCTCCCCCCGTGAAATCTCTCCCCTTCTCTTAAATCTTTTCTAAATTTGCTACGATAAGCATATAACATATCTTTTTTTTTTTTTTTAAGCATTATTTCTTATCCTGTGACTAAAAGTGAAGTTGTGAACTCCAGCTTCAGGCAGCGCGGCAGGTCAAAGTGCACCGGGAGGGGCAGAGCACCCGGAACAGTGGGAAAGGTTTGGAGCAGCCTGGGTGGACTGGGGGGAGCCTGCCTGCCCTTCCCCTCCCAATTTCTACCACTCCTGTATTTCAACCGTCTTAGCACCCTCCTCTCCCCTTCCAGTGGTCAGCCTACCCTCCCCCCACCCCACCCCTCCCATAGCAATCCCATGTCACTGGGAGCATCCAGCCCTCCCAAACCCAGTTCTACTGAATGGAGAAAATCACCACCCACCCCCCACCAGGGGAAGTGCTGCCTGTTCTTGGTTCCCGCTTCCTCTGGGCCCTGAGATGCTCCGCAAGCAGGAAAACTTAAACTCCTGCGAGTTGAATTTGGGAAATCCATCTTCCTATCGTTTCATGAGATAGCAGGCTGCCATTTGCCTCTCTCTAGTCGTCTGACATCTTTCCCTCCTGCGATTCCTCAAGGATTCCCCAGCAGCCGACCTGTGGTTTAGCTGCATGTCTTCCTGGCTCTCTCTTGTCCCCTCCACCAAAGTGACAGGCAGGTGGCAGGTGGAGCACAGACTTGCCGGTACCTCTTTCAGAGACCAAGCAGCAGTAGAAATTGGAGCTGACTTTCTGGTCCATTATCAAAGCTTCTGAATTGGATTTTTTAAAAGCTCTATAGTTCCACACTGAAATGGAGGCCAGCTGCCCTTTCCTCTCAATACCGGCATTTAGGGAGGGAGGGAGCGCGCCTGGCTAGAGTGGGACGGGATGTAACTGGGTGTGCTCACCGCTGGGCCCTCAGGAAGAGCGGCACCCACGTGCGATTGCCTGAGCGACTCTTTATTGAACAGTACATTTGCAAGAAGATAAGGCAACAAGGCAGTATCTGTACAGTGTCGCTAGCATTTACCCAAGGTGAAGCCAGGAAACACGTTCATGTGGTTTCCACGGGCGTCCCCCCCAATCCATGCACGAACGCTAGCGGTGAAGTCTGGGAAGGTTCGAGGCAGGCGGCGAACAGCTCTGCTGTCTTCCGTCACCGTGGGCTTGCAGACGGGACCCCCGGTTTGGGTCATCACTTCAGCTGAGCAACAGGAGCGTCCCTTCAGTATCGTAACGCTCAGTTTATAAGACCAGACGTGTGCGAGGACTTGAGACAGACACACTGTTAACCAATCAGTTTTATATAAAATCTGTCTCTTATTTAGCCCAAATGAGAGATGTGCTTCTCACCTGGCCTCTTCAGGTGCCTTCGTGATGCAGCATATTTTTCCATTTTACTCAAGGGAAATGGTAACCCCTGGACAGCTCTTTGGTACATGTCACAACTGTATTTTTAAACTCAAAGTTGCTTTAAATATTGCCGGCAAGGACCTTATGTCCTTTAAGGTTTGACTGAATGTTAAATTAAGCTCAGCTGTTAAATACCTCCCTGCATTTTTTTCCTGATTTAATATTGTTATAAACAGGAAAGTGTGTAAAAGTAAAGTGTATCCTATGTACAGATTGAAGGTTTTCTCTAAGTTTTTCAAGGGTTAAGTGACTCGCTTGCATTTAGTACGATTATATGCAAATCTTTTACATTGATATCTGAAAGTTCTGCTTTCTCAAGCAGATAGTATCATCATTTTCAGCTCTAATCATCAGTTTAAGTAAATGTTCCCATAAGTTCAAGATCCAGATAAAAAGTTTCTCTGTGGAGGCTTAGTCCGTGGCTGATTCTTTCATGAGAAGTCTTCAGGCAGATCAGTTATAACCTCAAAGTACTGAAAAACACAGCCACTGTGGGGAAGGAAAAAAACCAAATCAGTTCAGTGAGCATTCTTAGAATTAAAAGGCTATCTGAGTACCTACAGATTATTCTGGAAGATTGACTGTTGTACGAGAAAAGCTGATCAAGGGTTAAGATATCAGAGTATTAACTCACATTTTTTCTACCTGATTTCTAGAGTCTAGCTTTTTACAGGATCGTAAATCTGAATTAGGTGGTCATGAATCGTATTACAGGGTTGACTGAAACACGTGAAACGTGGAAAACACGAATTAGCATTTCTGTATCCCTGCCTCAGTGTCACATCAGAGGGTAGTTTGGATAGCCCTTAAACTAGTGGTTTTCAACCTCGGTTCTCTACTGGAGTAATCTGCGAACTTTAAATCAGACTCTAATGAAATTAGTCTGGGATGGGCCTGGACATCAGGACTTCTGCGAAGCTCCCCAGGACTGCAAGCTGCAGGCCAGGCTAACAATCGCTGCAAACTGAAGGAGAGGTCTTCTTCTGTCGCAGCCTCAGCGAAAAGAGAGTTGAGTGTGGGGAACTCCAGGGACCTGTGAAAGGCGAGGCTTAGGAAAGGAGGGAAAGCCGGTGGGTGAGATGTTTCTCAGAGGAAATGGGAGGATGGTCTGAGTAGGCTGGCCGCATAAAATAGTGGGAGGAATGAGATTTCCAGCCAGAAGGATAAAGGGGGCTGCAGTTTCCCAAACTTCACACGTGGCATGTTTAGGTCCCAATTGTATTGCCTCTACCTTAGACTGCAGTCTCAGGGGAGGGTTATTTCCTGAGCTACACAGAGTTTTAAGCAAGTTAGTGTTCTTTGGAAGCAGCTAAAACGTATTTTGCAGTTGGCTCGCGTTACTTTAAAATGCATTGATACCAGAGTGAAAGAGCTATTTAGTTGCTGGCTTCCTCCAGAGTTCGAAATTCAATGGAAGGCGGCGCCAGTCCCTCACCCTCGTCCTTCTTACCACTCTGCTCCTCTCTGGTCCCTGGGACTTGGTCGTTCCTACCCAGCACTGGCCACCCAACCCCAGTCTCTGTAGCCTGTGTTGCTCCAAGCTCAGTTCCCCCTTGGACAGAGGAAATGCAAGCTGGAGCCGGGCAAGGATGAAAAGTAAGCCCAGCTGGCTTCCTTCTTTGAAGTGAGAGAACTTTCTGTCTTCAGATGACAAGAGAACATTTTTGCGCTTTGCTTTCTGTGGAATTAGCATGCCAACTGAATTTCGAGTGATCGTTTCAGAGGTGCCCATTGCTGGGGTTCCAGACACATGAGCACAATCATTATATATGGTAAGCTTATCTACTATTGTTATTTTATTTTAAAGGTGGAGGAAGTAGAGAAGAGTAATTTGTGCAGAAAGTATTTTAAGTAGATCTAAGAATGACAGCTCTTCCCAAGACCCACTTACATTTCATCCACAGGGTTTCTTTGCATAATAAGCATCTTCTCCCATGCATGCGAATTAGCAGGTCATTTTTCTAAGAGGGATTCTGCAGCCACCCTCTTCTTCTTTTAACCTTGTGCTATTCTCAAGGCAAAGCTTCTGGGAGGAGGGACCAGGTGTGTTTTCTTGGACTCGAGAACCAATGGGTAGTTGGGAAATGACTGCCAGTAGAGGTGCACTCTGGGATCTTACAACAATTTACAGCCTGACCCTGACAGACCAAAAGCCACAGATCTCTGTCGCCCAAGTTGCAGCCCTTCTCCCCTCCGTCCCCTAGGAGTAGGGGCTGGGAAGCTGCTGACTTACAGAGATAAGGTCAAGCTGGATCATACCAGTATCCTCGGGGTCCAGCCGCTTAAATATCCCTGTGGAGGCAGAAACAGGATGTCATATAAGTGAGCTGCAACAGAGGTCACATTATCCTTTTCCCCAGCCTGGCAGCTGAGTTCACTGAATGACACAAGTTACGATTCCTTCCCTCTGTCCCCAAATTAAAGAAGGATTTTCATTCTCAACTGGACAGACACGTCTCTGGCTCACCCGTGAGGATGGTTTCACCCGTGGGGAAAGGCAGGCTGCTTTCGTACCGAGAGAACTGAAATGGGCCTTTACCCAAGTGGGCACTTACTGAATAGTGTTTCCAGTCGAAACAAACACCTAACAAAATTGTCAAAATCGATGACGAGCTGGTCATCTGCGAACCGAGCAACGATGACTTGGTGGAGCTGACAGGGCATCTTGAAACCTGCAGTTAAATGGACATGCAGACCAATTGCCAAGTGTTCGACTGCACCCTGGGGCTCTGTTCATGGGCTCTGGACCCGGAAGATGAGAGTTATGATGGCTTTGGTCCCCTGGCTGCTCTGCTGTGAGACTTTATTTTGCAAAGCCAGTGCCTTCTGCCATTGCTTCTGTTTCCACACTGTTCACCTCCACCCTGCCTCTCTCCTTTTTGGTTTTTTTTTTGCATTTTAATATTTATATATTATTTATTTAGGCTGCGCCGGGTCTTAGTTGCGGCATGTGTGTGAGATCTGGTTCCCCGAACAGGGATCGAACCCAGACCCCCTGCATTGGGAGCGCGGAGTCTTACCTACTGGACCATCAGGAAGTCCCGTCTCCTTACTAACACGTAAGACTTTCCTTGCCTGTTCCTACTTTCATGGTCAGGCTATTTCATGCTATCGATCCTATCTCCTTTTCTGTCTGTCTCTCTCTGAATCACCTTGGAGACTAGATTCTTCCTGGATGTATGTGGCAGAAACTGTTCATGCTAAACTAATATGAATTCTCCCTTTTTCCATAGTTGTAGAATTTTTAACAGGCCATGGCTGCCTAGAATCAAGGCTGCCTTTCCCAGCTTCCCTGGCAGCCCTCTGAAGCCTTGTGACTAAGTCCTGGCACTGGGATTTGTGTACAGAGTGACATGTGCCCTTAAAGGCAAGGAGCCCCTCTTTCCCTCCTTCTGTCAGCCCATTGCTAGAACGTGGTTGTGGTGACAAGCTGTCCCCGTCCTGCAGATACGGGTGACGATCTAAGGGCTGGTGACACAGTATGAGAGAAGGAGCCTGGGTCCCTGACAGCAGGAGACACCGTCTGGCCTTGGATGGCTTGAGCTTGAATCGTTATGTGAGAGGAAGGTGTATCTTGTTTAAACCACTTATTTGGGGTCTCTGCTGCAGCATTACATCCCAACGAATGGACAACCTCATACTGTCATATTTGTCCCCTAAGCACACCAGTCTCCCACTCTGCTGGTCTCCCACAGCTGGTGTCCCTTTTACTGACATCACATGCTGCTAAGGACTCACCCAAGGGTGGAACTGGACATCGCACTTCTGCCTGACCAGCCCTGCACCCGAACGGACGAGGGCAGGGTGTGTGGGTCTGCTGAAAACTGGCTTTGCCTGCGACCCGCTGGGGCCCTTGGAGGGAAACTGAGATTCCAGACGGCTTAGAGGGCAGAGCGTCCTGGACTCCATTTCATTTTACCAATTAGTCTTTAAAAGGCGAATGAAAAGGATGTGTTTGTACTGAACCAGCACCTACTCTATTTCATAGCTTACCAAACTTTGTATCGTATAGAATAAGTTTTCACATATTCTACAGATAAAAGAAAGAAAATACAGTTAGGAAGTGTTACCTGCTTCTTCTAATGCTTTCCGCATCTCATAGGAGTTCATGGTTCCGGACCTGTCCACGTCGATCTCCCGGTAAATTTTCTGAAACATGCAAAATAGTTAGAAAACCATGACCCAGAAGGTGGCAAGTTACCTCTCTGTGCTGTGTGCTAAGTGGGGCTGAAGTTCTTCCAGCTCCATGCCTCTAGTTTGGCCTTGGAAGCATCACCCATGTTTCTGCCTTAAAGAGTATTTTGTCTCTCCATGAGCTAGTTTATAAATACGCCCATCAAATCACCTAGCCAACTACATAAGCCCCTGTTATTATCCTCTGTAATTTTTGTACTTTAGCTGTCAAAAACCCCAACTACAAGCGGCTACATGGCCTTTTCAGGACACTTGATGGTGGCTTTTAGATGACCCCCTTTCCGGTCAGTAAGGCAGGGAGTAAACCACGTCACTTGCGAAGTCTTTGTTTTTCCTGTTTGCATTTGCCCAGCCCTGTCTTCACCCATTCTGAGCTCCGTTATGAGTACAATCCCCTCTGCTTGGAGATGCTCCTCCACCGTCCTAAAGAGCTGCTGCGTCCAAAAGTACGTGCATGGCGCGTTGCCCACACAGACCCACCGCCCCTGCCGCCCGGCCCTCCTGGGCTCTCACTTGGTATTTCTGAATCTTGGTCCAAAGAATGTAGAACTCCTTCAGACCCAGCTTGCCACTCCCATCCGACTGCCTGCAGTTAAGGAAAGCTCCCAGAGTCTGGGTTCACGTGGGCCGTGGCACCTGGTTTGTCCTCTCCCCTGGAGCATCTGGTAACCACAGTTCAATCACGAGAAGCTCTCGCAGAAGGACCCTTTTCCTGCTCTTCACACTGGCTAGACCTCCATCTGAGGGCTGGTGGAAGGGCCCAATAGAGACCTGCTGGTTCCCCGACACTGTGTGCTGATGGGTCTGGGGGTGCTATGCAGCTGGCCCCAGTTCCTGCTAAGAAGGAGCTGTTGGAGGATATGCAGAGGCTTCAGATGGCTTCTAATGGCTGCGCCCTTGCCCATTTAGGGAGTATCATTATTTCTAAGAGGCCTTCTGTGAGGGGAGCTACACAGCAGGTGCCATGAGCCCACCAGATGAAACTTCATAGAAGCTTAAGCCATCCAGGCCATCCTTGCCCAGCACCTCTCAGTAAGCAGCAGGGACAGCAGATGGACGATGAGTCGGCCTCAGGGCCAGGTGGTGGCCTGGGAAGGAGCCAGAGCAAGAGGAAGGAGAGTGCTCTTGGAGGGTAGGCCCCTATCTTATGAATCAGGAAGAAAATCATGACTGGGGAAAGCATTCACATCAGAAGTATCATGGTAGGGACTTCCCTGGTGGCACAGTGGTTAAGAATCCATCTGCCAATGCAGGGGACACGGGTTTGAACCCCGGTCCGGGAAGATCCCACATGCCGCAGAGCAACTAAGCCCGTGCGCCACGACTACCGAGCCCGTGTGCCTAGAGCCCGCGAGCCACAACTACTGAGCCCACGTGCCACAACTGCTGAAGCCCGCGCGCCTATAGCCCAGAAGAAGCACTGCAATGAGAAGCCCGTGCACCGCAACGAAGAGTAGCCCCTGCTCGCCGCAACTAGAGAAAGCCCATGCACAGCAACGAAGACCCAACACAGCCAAAAATAAATAAATTAAAAAAAAAAAAAAGTATCATGGTTTAGGGACTATTTCCCTAGAGGTAACACATCCAAGCTGCGCTGGGCAGAGAACAGCGGGCATGCTGTCAGGAATTCCCTGCAGGAACCCCTCCGCCTGTGGCATCTCACATTCCCTCAGCTGAAGTCCCTCGAATTCCCTACTAAGGGAGGTCAGCGCTGACAACGGTCCTACGCCTCGGCCAGTAGGGACAGCTGGCCGCTGTGCAGGGGAGGAGGCCTGTGTTTGTATCTTCCCGGAGTGAAGTTTCAAACTCTCCCAGCCTCTGTCCTGCGGGGCCCATTAAAGGATACGTCGAGCATGTCAACCATGATTTTGCAGGTCTCTATGCTGAAGCCGTCTGACTTGATATCTTGGCCTAGGAGACAAAAATAAGTGTGACAGGAACATCTTCTAGAGCAGTACTGTCCAATACAACCTTCTACGATGGCAGAATATTCCGCATCTGCACCCTCCCATGTGGGAGCCACTTAAATTGTTTTAAATAGCTGCACGAGGCAGGTGGCCACCATACTGGGACAGTGCAGAGGCTGTGTGACATCTGCCTGACTTCTCTGTATATTGGCCATGGGCATACGGAGTTATAATAAGTGCTTTTTAAATAAGTAAGAGAATGCTAAGAGTCTGGGCCTTGAAGTGTTCATAAGATGCAGAGTCACCTGTGGAGCTAGCGGGCGCCCCGCGTGTTTATTCTAGGCAGGGCCCTGAGAGAGGAAGAGGTTTACTTAACTGCCTGTCTGCAGGCATTCAGGGGACCTCTGTGTCCCCAGCTGGGTTAGCCAGAGGGCCAGAGCCTGTCCGCAGCCTGTGCTCTCCTAGGCGAGTCACTCACTGGTTGAGTCCCGTCTAGTTGGTGGTCGACAGGTGGCGTGAGAGCCTTGTCACAGATGTGAGTCTGTCCCCACAGCCTTCAGGGGAGCCCACCCTTTTCATCATGTCCTTGTGGAAGGTTAGGACGTAACCTGTCTCAGAGCTGCTGTTCTGGGCTCTGATCCCGTCTGGGGTGTGGGTGTGGGCTGTGCCTGGGGCCCTCGGGCAGGAGTCGTCACTGGGTGTGGAGCGGGGAAGGGTACCGAGCTCCGGGGCTCGGGTGAGGCTACTGCCGCGCCCCCAACAAGCAGCAACAGAATCCCAGCGTGGCCCGATCCCTCCCCTCCCCCTCCCCGCATCTGTGCAGAAACAATGGGGCTCAGTGTCCCTGGGTTCATGACAACCACACAGCTTAACAGGCTGTGACCTCACTCGTGCCTGGTGGCCTCGAGGGTAAACACCATCTTCTCATCACCCCCAGATTGGAGGAGGGGCGCCGAGGACCAGGGTCCGCCTTGGGGAAGCCCCACCCTGGCCGCTGGACCCCCTGGCTGCAGCTCTGCGAAGAAGCTCAAAGGCAGCCTTTTGTTTGGAGGCCCCCGGGCATGGATCGGTCACACGTGGTTCCTGTGAGGGACCACATGCGTGTCGTTCACGTGCACTGTGATGGAAGACCCCACTGGCCTGGATCCTTCTTTGGCTTCAAGAGGAGGATTTTTATCTCTTGGGGTTGGGCCAGAGTGAAGTCCACGGGACTTCTGGAGACGATCCCAGGCTGACGCTCGGCCCTGACGACATACGCTCTGGTTTCGGATCCAGGCTGAGAACTGATACCGTACAGACCCCTGCTCAGTGGACTGCTGTCTTATCACAGCAGCACAGTTCTGGTGCTAACTCGAGGGGGAGAAGAGCAGTGTGTGGGGGTGCTTTCTCCCCACCCCCTGCAGCGGTGATCAACACTGGGGAGGTGGACGGTCCATCCTTTGATATTTTTTGCTTAAGAAACAGTTTCACCTGAAAAGGTGCGTGAGGACCATGGCTCTCCAGCTCCTTCTCAAGTCTCCACCCAGTTCTGTCCGTTCTGTATAGACGCCCATCGGCCTGGGCTGAGGGCCGTCACTTCTGGAGCCTTGAAGCCACTTGCCTGGCCCACTGGCTCAACGGAAGTGACATTTCTCCCATCAAGAACTGGCTCGACCAGGCTCCCTTAAACACACATTTGGGAGATGAGCCTTTTTAATGCCACCCCCTTAGCTGGAGTGGAAGACGGACCCCTTATTTTTCCATTCTGGCTCATCAGTGAGCTGTCGTCACTCTGTCAGTGGTTCCCCACTAAATACGGCCGGGAATCCAGGGAGGGGATGCTTTCTGGCTCCCATCACGCTTTTTCTTAGCAATTAATCATCATAAGAGTCACCGTATATACAGAGCCCAGGCTTTGTTCCTACACATCATCTCACTTAAGACATTCAACCACTCTGAAGAGGTTAAGTAATAATATGCCTATTTTGCAGATAAGGAAGCAAGAGTCAGGGAGATTATCTAACAGAGCTAGTAAGTGGTGGAAACCCGGATGTGATCATTGACCTCTAGACTCCAGAAACCTCCGCCCTTTTTTATCACATCGGGGAGAACCTCCTTCATCCGGTTCCTTGGTGGTGACGGTGGCGTTTAAGCAGGAGTGGGGGTGACGGTTCAGCCACAGCCGCTGAGCCGGGGAAGGGGAAGGGTCACCGTGTCCCCTCACGTTGCAGAAGCAGGATGAGGGATGTGCGAGGGGTGGGTACTTACGCCTTGCCAGAACTCTTCTCAGGATTGTCTGCAACTCAAAGGCAGAGATCTCTGCATCCTGTGGAGATGCAACCAGAGCGTCATTATTGGCTCCCTTGGGGCTGCGTGAAGCGCGGAGCAGCGGACGTGTAACGGGTGTCCACTCTGGCTGAGCCCGCGAGGTGCATTAGAGCTGGGGCGGGGAGGGGTCTGTGGGCGTGCATTTCTAACAAGTCCCCGGGATACGCTGCTGCCACCACCCCCCAGGCCGCACAAGGAGCACAGCCACAGCCCAAGTTTCTGATAGTGTTTTAATACACAGCGTGCTCCAGGCAGAGTTCGTTCGCCATTGCTCTGCTGTAGAGAATATGAAGAATAAATTCTCCATTCTACCCATGTTTGTGGTCTTTTGACTCAGTTCTCTATACCCTTCCTCGCACCCAGCATGCCTTCCTCTCCCTTTAAAACCCAGATCTGGCTTCCTGCAAAGCTGGCTGGGACCGGCTGTCTCCAAGAATTGGCCCAGCACTTTTTCTGTGGCCCTTGATGTCACAGCTCCTCAGAAGTGGTGCGGGTACCTCTGTTCACTTACACATATTGTGTAACTGGGGGACAAGCCCCATTATTTAAGACCAAGACTGACATTGTGCGTTCTTGGGGTGTGTGTGTGTGCGTGTGTGTTTCAATCAGTGGGGAAGTATGTCTCTACGATGCCCCTTCCCTTAGAAACCAGGAGGGAGGGAGGGAGGCAGACAGGCGGGCGGAGGCATGGGGCAGGTGGCACCTGCTTCAACTCTGATGAGGAGGCCCAGGTAAGCCGATGGTGGACACTCGAGAGAGCTAGTGTGCTCCATATATGGAGGAGAATGACTTTGTTTGGAGTCGTTGGAGGAAGAGGCCTGCTAACTTTGTAGCGGACGGAAGCCTAGATGCCTGAGGGATTTCTTTTTTAAGGACAGGGAAGGCTGACACTCTCTCTGTTGCTTGCATCCTTGAGACTTGAAAACCCTCCAAGTCCCCAAATATTTTCGTGGCAATCAAAGAGAAGGGGTTGAGTTCCACGTCTCAGCTGCAGCGGCACAGAGCAAACAAAACAGCCACAAGGAGAGGCCCAGAGTCCTCAGGCAGGAGGATCACAGCCAGAGCCGACCCCCGACGGCAGAAGCCCCTGGCGACTGACGTGCAGAGGCCCTGGGGAGGCCTTGGGTAAGGAATCTGAGCGGAAATCCCAGTTATGTTTGTAATTCCTCTTTGCTTTTTGTTCAGTTTGTTTCCTTTCCCCCCCTTAGACTGAAGTCTCCTTGAGGGCAAAGATGGTCTCTTCCTTTGCGTCAAGCAGGGCGCACAGCACAGAGGTTTGGGGAGCACTTACCTCTCCTGCCAACTGGGCAAACAGCCTCCTGAATCCATCATCGATGTCGTCCTCGCTGACATCAATCTGGAAGGTGAGGCACAGAAGTGAGACGCAGTGACCAGCGGGCGCCTGCTCTCCCTTCCGAGGTGGCCTCCACCGCCACCTCAGTTACCCTCTCTCCCTCTCAGGCCTGAATTCTAAGGTTACTGGGATTGAGACATAGGACAGTGTGAGGAAGGAGTTTTTTTTCCAGTTAAAACACATAAGAGGGACAATAAACTATGTGGGAAGGAGTTACACTCTAATTTCTCACATAGGCGTCTTCTCCAACATTCCACCAAAACGGCCTTTTATGATCTAAGTAATGGGGACTCAGAAGTGTAAAGACGAGCTGGCGGGGTCTCGAACGACTCTGAACGTGGCGAGAGCACAGCCGTGAGGCCCTTGGAAATGGCTCCACGTCTCACTGAGTACACGGAGCTTCAGCAGCTGAGGAATAACCATCATCAGGCCGCTGCGGGCACCAGGACAGGGGGAAGAGCGCTCCTTCCCATCTGTGTGCTATCCTTCCTCAAATCTGGACGCTTAGGTTGGGTCTGGAATTCCTGAGTTGCAGTCCTCAAAGCCCTCAGGATTTACCACTGAATCACAACTCCCAGAACTCTAGGGAACCTGAGAAATCTTGTCATGCAACGTTTTCATTTTGTTGATGAGAAAACTGAGGGCCAGAAAGGGGAGTGACAAGACCGCCCACTGCTCAGAGCAGCCTGGTGTCCCATCCTCCAGGCACCCCGTGCGTGTGGGCTACATCCAGGGGACCGTCCAGCCCCACGCAGCGGCCACAGCCGGTGCAGGAGGCGCTCTCGGACTCCCAGGCCAGGGCTGCACCCTAGTTTCAAGCTCTGCTCGTGAAATCCTAGGGGCCTCCTGAACCCTTGGGGTTATTTTCTGCTCCACCGCTCCTGGGTTGTTCAGGACAGAGCGGGTGAAGCTCAAACAGTACGGTACCTCTTCAAGGTTGGCCTCGATTTCGTCGTCGACAACTCTGGAAACAGAAGGAAACTACGTGTCACTGAAAAGGGAGCGTTGCAGAAATCCCGGCTAAAATGAAACTGCGCCGTTAAACCCAGCATGGGGTGGGCACAGGGGTTTTTTCTGCATCCCAAGTTTCTGTGACAACACATCCCCTACAGCAGAAATTACAGTTAGAGATGATCCAAGGAAGTGTCCTGGCTAAAACAACTTGAGAGTCAGAACTGTTTTGTTTGCTAGTTTTCAGTCTTCATCGAAGAGCACAGGCTTCCCAGGCTCTACGGTGCTGGCGCTCTGGCCTGGAGGGACAGCTTTTAGGCTCCCTCTGAAACGCCCTTTGCCGTCATAAATCTTCACACTGAGAATCCTGCAGTGTACCCTGCTGCCTACTTGCTCTGCCGAGGGTGGGAGAAGGCAGGGAGGCCTGGGTAAGATTTCAGCTGAAGCTCAGGCCCTGGCTAGTTTATCCCACACACAGTCCTGTGTGCAGGGCTGGGTCCTTCTGCTCCACAGAGAGGGAAATTCCTTCTCTGCTGTGCATGGTCTTGGAGCCCGGCGATCCCTGCCCCTCCCGCCCACTGCCCGCCCCCCTCCATCCCACATGGATCTGAGCATGTGGCCCAAGGTCAGAGGGGGACATGGCAGCTGCCACACCCCCTCTTCCCACACCCTGGTCCTCTGGCGTCCAGCCTCCTATCAGTTCTAGAGGGTCTCCAGGGCCTTCCAGTAAATCTTGTGCTTAAGTTGCCCAAGGCTGATTACATCTCACGCAGTCAAGGGCCCAGCTGAACAGACACGGTTAAGCCAGCAGCCATTGTGAATTGAGCCAAAAATGGTCCCTGAACGGCGGGGCTCCAGTGAGGACGGGGGAGCGCCTGGAGACATCTGAGGGACCGCTGGGATTGGCACTTAGACCCTCGGCTCTGCCAGGCTGGTGGGCTGGGGACGCAGGGATTCTACCAGCACTGCCCCAAATGACAGGCATTTGCAATTTGCTCTACAACCATCCCTTTCTCATCAGAAAGATCCCGAGTGTCTATTTTCTTTGCTGACCCGAGGACAGCACTAACGTTCTTCGATACCTCAAGTCCTCACGCTAAGCCTTCGAAGCGGGCGGGTACTACAGAAAAAGAAGCTGACGCGGGGGTCCAGGCGGGGCAGGAACAAGGCGTGGGGACGAGGAGGATTGAACGACCTACTGGTAGTCAGCTTTCTTCTCGGAAAAGACCCGGATGCAGAAGTCCCCGTCCTTGTTGGGCTCGAAGGTGGACGGCACCAGGATGTACTCCCCCGGGGGCAGCTTGAAGCGGTTGAGCACCTCCCGCAGGTTGATGAAGGTGTCCGACCGCTCCCTCGCTCGGTGAGTCAGGAAGAAGCTCTTGCTGAGGTGGACGTTGTTCTGTCCTGTCAACTGGTGAAGAAACAGGAGCAAGACGGAGTGGAGGGTGGAAAGGGCTCCAAGCACCGTCCTCTCCACTCATCGAGACAAGAAGCTCACGGCGACAACTCTGCATCATCTTAGATGAAAAGCTAACTTTCTACCCCAAACACGAGCTCAGAGGCACACACAGCAGGAGACCCACATTCACCCCGTCTTCAGATGCCCTATCTCTCCACTCGGAGGACAGAGGTCCTCAGCCTTCCCCTTATGACTCAGGGGCATTAAAGTGCCCTCGGCCGGGATCCACTCAGTTCTGTGTGGTATAGACACACTGACGCAAGCAGCCAGGACCGCGGCGAGGAGGGGGCCCAGCTCTCAAATGTGGGGTGTCAGTCTGACCACGGCATCCACAAAGGCCCAGCACGCCACCAACTGCCCTGTCCTGTGTGTCGACTTGAATAACTGTGGCCTTTAAAAACACACACTGCGACTGTGTGTCTCACCAGCTCGGTTAAGCCTAACTGTGGGCCTACTAAGTGCTCTCACATATCACCGCGCATCCCAATAGTCTGGCAAGGTAGATGGTTGACCAGTTTTACTGACGAAGAAACTGAAGTCCAGAGAGGACAGGTTAATTGCTCAAGGTCACACAGCTTGCAAATGGCAGAGCTGGGAATGGGGTCCAGGCCTCTTTCTGTGCTCCCCCATCTTATAATACCACCGCAGGGCTCATCATTTCCCTTTAGGCCTGTTTTAAGAGCACTACAGGACTCCAGGAAGAGTCTCCTGCAGCCCCTGGACCACGGACCCTCCACCCGGGACTAAATGTGTGCAGCGGCTTTGCCAGGTCTGGGGAGACAGCACGCCCCGTGGCAACTGCCCCAGCTGCCTTACCCTGTGCTTAGACCCTGGGATCTAGGACCTGAGCAACCTCACTGCAGCCCAGAGGGGCTGGGGACTCATCCTTCATCGCCACCAGCCCCTGCCCAGGCTTCACAAGACCCCCGAGCCAGCAGTCTAAGCCTCTTCCTTGTTGGTGAACCTGAGCCCGCAGGGACAGCGGCTGACGTGAGCCAGACGTACCTCCTCTGGAATCTGCAAATAAAGGAGAACACGCTGAATTCAGACTCTGGAAAAGCTCCAGAAAGAAATGTCACCACTGAGATGGTCTCCTTTGCTACCCCCCTTTCTCTGTAGCTTTACCAATAGGAACTAAATCAACCCAGTAATTATTTCCCAAGGAACGCAACGTATTCCCACATTTTAAAAAAAATCTTGGGCTTCCCTGGTGGCGCAGTGGTCGGGAGTCCGCCTGCCGATGCAGGGGACACGGTGTTCGAGCCCTGGTCTGGGAAGATCCCACATGCCGCGGAGCGGCTGGGCCCGTGAGCCATGGCCGCTGAGCCTGCGTGTCCGGAGCCTGTGCTCCGCAACGGGAGAGGCCACAGCAGTGAGAGGCCCGCGCACCGCGATGAAGAGTGGCCCCCGCATGCCGCAACTAGAGAAAGCCCTTGCACAGAAACGAAGACCCAACACAGCCACAAATAAATAAGTAAAAAATAAAAATAAAGGAATTCCCTTAAAAAAAAAAAAATCTTATGAGCCGGCGATAATGTACATGAGCCCTTAGCACCGTGCTTAACTTATAGAGCAAGAAACCGAGGCCTGGAGCTGTGAAGTGACCTGGCTGACCTGGCTGAGGTCACCCAGCTGCCTGTAGCAAAGCCCACACCCCACCCTCGCCGCCAGGGAAAGCAGGGCTGGAGGAAGCAGCACAGGGACACAGCTGCCCCCCGGGGCTGGGGGCCAGCAGGTGCTGGTTCGAAGCTGCTGCCGGCCACATCCATCTGTATTTCCTCAAGCAAGTCGCTTCCCTTCTCTGGCCTCAGTTTCCTTATCTCTAAAATGGGACAGGTGCTTCTTGGCTCTGAAAGCCCATGGCTGGATTTCCAAGTCCGGGCTGTGTGTCACAATTCAGTCTGCATTTTTCTTGCAGCTATTCTGTCCTAGATCTGAAGTCCTCAGCTCCTACTTCAGAGACTGAGAAGCTTGGAATTATGTGCTTTTTTTTTTTTTTTGCGGTACACAGGCCTCTCAGTTTTGGCCTCTCCCGTTGCGGAGCACAGGCTCCGGACGCGCAGGCTCAGCGGAATGGCTCACGGGCCCAGCCGCTCCGCGGCACGTGGGATCTTCCCGGATCGGGGCACGAACCCGTGTCCCCTGCATCGGCAGACAGACTCTCAACCACTGCGCCACCAGGGAAGCCCTTATGTGCATTTTTAGAAATGATGGTGCTTGCCCAGCTCCACCTGTTGGTGGGTGAGCAGGCAGATCGTCGCCCCACGGGCGGCAGCCGCGTTTCCCTGCTGGGTGAAGTGAGCAGACAGCCTTCTCCCCGACACTGTGTCTGACTCCTACGCGCCGTGCTGGGAGCCCGGCTCTCAGGGTTCGGTGGGAGACCTGATGTGTAGTATTTGCTAATTTCCATGCTGTACATACTGCCCCCTCCCTGCCGTGGCTGTCTTCAGGCTGCCCACGTGACCTCACTGAATGTCAGGCTGGGAAGAGTGGGCCGGTTCCAGCACATCACTGCGGCCCGCCCATCACACCAAAGTGCACCCCACTTGAGCGGCTCTGAAGTCTTCCTGCACCCCGCTTCTCCCACTGCTCACCCCAGGCCAGGAGCAGCTCTTCTCTGTGCGGGAGAAGGGAGAGGGGAAGGGACCGGGCCCAGCGTGTTGGGTCAGTTGGTTCGGAATGAAAGGACATGGGGGCAGTGAGAGCGCCTGTGTTGGGCGTGGGGCTCTAGCCGGCTGAGCCCTGGTGGGGGCAGAGGACCAACTGCTCCCCTGCCCCGAGCACGGGCTCTGCCCAGCGGGACGGGACCTGCTGGCTCAGTTCCTGCCCTCACAGTGGCTCCGGACATGGTCCAGCACACTCTGTCCTCGCCTTACATCTGTTCTGTCCTTTGGAGATTGGTGGCCAGCCAGAGTGCCAGGCCTGGGGGAAGTGAGAAGGGACACGGAGGCCACTTGAAAGAGCGGGACTCTCCGGAAGCTGGCTGCAGGGGAAGGGGGGCGGGGGCTCCTGGTGACCCAGACCAATTGCAGGGACCTCCCTGCATGAGTCTCTTAGGACTGGCCCGGCCCATGGCTTTGCTTTTCCTTGGCCAAGCTCCCGGCCTGGGGTCCCATCTCCAGGTCTGCCTCTGGGGTTGGCCTTCCTCGCAGGGGCTGACACGAGCCAAGGTGGAAGGGAAGGAGGAGCCCCAGCCCTGTGGACGCCCCTCCCATACCTCATAGATGCCAAAGCCAATGGTGTGCATGTCCTCGCCCATCTTCCTCTGCCGCCGCCGGTGCTTCTGGATGAGACCCACCAGGAAGGTGCAGCCGTTCTCCCCATCCTCCTGGTCTTCGTCCTCCTCCTCCAGCTTGATCAGGTACTGAGGGTTCATCCAGAAGGTATCTGTAGCCAGAAGGGGCGGGGATCAGTCACTCAGACCGCAGGAGCCCAGCGTGAACAGGTGTGCATGGGGGGACGAGGGGACGAGGCTGCGCTGGTCGCAGGGGTTGGAGGCTGCTGGGAGAGGGGTGAGGATGGGCAGGTGGGGGTATGGCAGGGCAGAGGAACCAGAGACCAGGGCTGGCTGGCAGCCCGTCCGGGTGGCAACAGGCCATGAGCAGTGGAGGGCTGGGGGTTTGTCTGAACCTCACGGGAACCTAAATTAGAAACTCCCCTTTGCAGTTCTCTCTCGCTCGCCCTCAGGCTGGCTGGGCTTGGAGGCATCCTGGAACAGGGTGGTCAGAGCTGAGGCCCAGATCTCCTTTGGCTCAGCTGTGATATCTCCCCGTGGTATCTTCTCACCAGGCTCTAACTCGGGGGTTAGAGATGGCCCAGCTGGCCTGGCTGGGGGGACTTGGGGACTAGGTTTGCACCCCCCTCAATGAACCCAGGGGCCAGGAACATCCTGTGCCCCGTCTCAGCCTCTTGTTCTGTGTCCCCGTCCTCCTGGGCCTGTCCCCTTGCCCACTCCCATGGTGTCTCTGCCCTCCCAACTTTCAAAACCAACTTGCAGGAAGGAGCCGAGATTCATTCATCTTAAGGATAATTAATGTGATCTCCTTCCTTTACCTACTAACATTCTACTTGTGGAGATAAAGGTATCTAGTGTAGGGTTTGGCCAACTATGGCTCTATGGGCTGCTGGCTGCCTGTTTTTACAAGTAAAGTTTTATTAGAACACAGTCATCCTATCTGTTCATTTAAGTATGGCTGCCTTCGGGCTACAGCAACATTTGAATAGTTGCCATAGAGACTAGATGGCCCACAGAGCCTAAAGGGTCAACTCTCTGGCCCTTAAGAGAGAGTCTGCCAACCCCTGATCTAGTGGGTAGGAGACATAGTCTTATCTGAGGCAGAGGACCATCCCAGCACCTCTGGAACTTGCTTGGTGGCTGCATACATGAGATGAAGGATTAAAAGCACCAGAGCTGGGCTTCCCTGGTGGTGCAATGGATAAGAATCTGCCTGCCAATGCAGGGGACCCAGGTTCGATCCCTGGTCCGGGAAGATCCCACATGCCACAGAACAACTAAGCCCGTGTGCCACAACTACTGAGCCTGTGCTCTAGAGCCACAATTACTGAAGCCTGCGTGCCTAGAGCCCATGCTCCGCAACCAGAGAAGCCACCGCAATGAGAAGCCTGCGCACCGCAAGGAAGAGTAGCCCCCGCTCGCCACAACTAGAGAAAGCCTGCACACAGCAACAAAGACCCAATGCAGCCAAAAAAAAAAAGCACCAGAGCTAGAGGCACCAATCTGCTAGTCCCAGTCTGACTACTTGCTCTGTGGCCCAGGTATGCCACTGAGAGCCTTGGTTTCCTCATCTGCAACAAGAGAATCAATATATGACCATGAATTGCCATTGCAGTACTTAAAGACTGACTCCACAGTCAGACTGCTCGGGTTCAAATCCCAGGCACAGTGAAGGCTGTGAGGCCTTGGGCAAGTCACTTAACCTCTCCAAGCCTCAGTCCCCTCATCTTAAAGATGGAGATGATAATAAAGTGCCTGCCTCAGAAGGCTGTTGTGAGGATTAAATGGAGTAAATATATTAATAAATCACTTAGCACAATAAATCCTAGCACCCAATGTATGTTTCATAATTGGCAAATGTCATCATGATGGGACAATTTCTGAGTGGGAGAGGGCAGGGGAGGACTGGGCCATTGAGGCAGAAGGGTCAGGGGAATAAACAAACGATAAACCAGAGGAGGAGTCCTTGCCCCCATCTGAGCAGGACCCCATCAACATCTGCTGAGTGAATTGGGCACAAGAGGATTGCCAGGCAACAACCAGGGTCTGGATGTGCAGAGGTCCAGTGGGTGAGGTCCCCCTGCTGGGCTAGGCCGCGTGGGCTTCGTGTGGATAAAGTAGCCCATGGGGGTTTCCCTGGTGGTGCACTGGTTGAGAGTCCGCCTGCTGATGCAGGGGACACAGGTTCGTGCCCCAGTCCAGGAAGATCCCACATGCCGCGGAGCGGCTGGGCCCGTGAGCCATGGCCGCTGAGCCTGCGCGTCCGGAGCCTGTGCTCCGCAACAGGAGAGGCCACAACAGTGAGAGGCCCGCGTACCACAAAAAAAAACAACAAAAAAAGTTGCCCATGGGTATGAAGTGGGATTGACGCTGCCTCAGTGGGCGAGGCCGTGGCATCAGGGAAGCTGGAGAGGAATCACAGAAACAGCACGTCTTGGGTTCTGCGTGGGCAGGGAGACAAGTGAGTGCAGAAGGCAAGGGGCTGAGGGGACAAGAAGGGTGTTGAGGTGGAGACTCAGGGAGAAGAGGCAGAGGGTCCTGGAGGGTAGGAGCGGCCAGGATGGGGTGCAGCACACCAGGGTGGGACGGTGGCAGGGTGCTCACTCGGGTAGTTCCTGCAGCCGCCCGCGGTGGAGCCCCGCCTCCAGTTCCCATCCATCTTGGTGAGTTTCCACTTCTTGTAGGTGTCACTGGTCAGCGTGTCAGGGGTCAGGTTGCAGATCTCCAGGCGGGAATAGTGCCTCAGGAAGTCGTTGAAAGACATCCTGCAAAAGCAGGGACGCAGCACCCAGGTTGCCGGAGGACACGATGATAAGCCTGGACCTTCCGCCCAAGGCCAGACTAGCACCCAGTCAGGGCCAGGCAGAGCTGCTAGGAGACAGCACCTCAGGGCCACATGGCCACCAGGTCCGCCACTGGAAGGCGCCAATTCTAGTCCTGGTGCTACCCCCTTCTAGCCAGGTGACCTTCAGCAAGTTACTTAAGCCTCTGTGAAACTCAGAACCCTCATCTGTAAAAATGGGGGCCACGTGCATCAAATGAGACAAAATACGGCTGCTCATTTGGTAAAACGCCAGTACTGTGCAGACGTAGGTGGTCCCAGAGTAGCACAGACACAGCCGCGTGGGCCCCACTGCTACTCTCCAAGGGAGCCATTTCTTGAGGCCTCGGGATGAATCTCTAGGAACTGGTTGGGAGAAAGGCCCACCTTCCCCCTCTTTTCTCTTGGGACCTGAACATGCCTGCAGGAATTCTTAGCCTTCTCTGCTGAGCTGCTCAGCTTTGAAACCCTACTGCTGAGATGGACAAACTGAAGAGGTTCAAGAATTGTTTTGTTCAAGGTCTTATAGTGAATTTAAAACAACAACAAAACCAGGATCCCACGCCCCTGCTCCCTCAACACGATAATCTCACTCATTTTCTAGTAAAGATCAGACACCTCTTTCCCTAACGCCTAAGAATCTTACCAGAATTCCCCATCCTCCTGCCGCCTGGTCAGCCTTTCCCTCTCCTCTGGGTCAATAGTGGTCCAGTTTGGGCAGCTGGAAAACCAAGCAATGGGAGAGGCATTAGAAACTAGTGTGGGACGATGACTTCTCCCCAAGATGCCCCAAAGTTGAGGACCGGGGACATGGTCTCCCACCTGAGGGCTCAGACCCCAGTAAGGGAGGGAAGTAACACACGGGTGGCTGAGAGGTACAGGGCAGCAAGGTGAGAGGATACATTGTCCTGGAAGATGGTGGCAAGGAAGATTCCAGAAGATGAACACAGCCCATCAGAGAGACATGAAGTAGCATCAGTGGCCCAAACTGAGATGGGCCTGTCAGCTCTTTTAAGGGGCGATTGGAAATTCGATGTAGGGGAGGGGCGCTCATCTTGGTCTCTGTGGCTGGCCTGCAGTCCCGGGCAGGCGTCTCTATGCCATGGCAGAGGCTGCCAGGGAAAAGGTGAAGAACCGTGGGTGCTGGGCTGTGGAGGGGCACGGGGAGACGGGAGCAGAGGAAGACCATGAGAGGGGCTCACAGAGTTCACCCCAGAGAGTCGAAGGTCTAACAGGCCTACCAGGAACCCTGGACATCAACAGAAGGACTTCTCTCTGGTCACAGGCACAACGTTCACATCCTTGGGATAGAACGAGTGCTTAGGGGAGGAAGGGTGTATTTTTTCCCTGAAGATCCAATAGCAAGGTGACGCCGAGCTAGGGAAGGGAGGAACCATGAGGTGATGAAAGGATGAGCATCCCAGGAGCCCTTGTAAAGGCACCCAGACGGCTGGAGTGCACTGCTTAAGAGCCTAGAGGGCCACCAGCCCCCGGGGTCCCACTCGGGGTGGCCTGTGCTCTCGGGGATTTATTCTCAGCACGGCTACCATGCCCCCCCTCCTCAGCTCCCCAGAGACCCCTGGAAAGAGTGCCCGCACGCCGGCTCCCGAACCTGCCCTACTCACTTGTCGTTCCACTGCCCGGTCCACTCCACCTCTCCCCAGGGATTCCGGATGCGGATCAGCTTCTGCAGGCTTCCTCTGCTTTCCACCTGCAGGAGGGGTGGGGGAAGGAGAGGAGAGAGATGTTGAGTTCAAGCCAGGCCTGGAGGTTCTCCGGCCCAAAGCCCCTTTTTCTCCATGAGCCAGGGGCAGGAGGCGTCAAGTCCATGTAATAAGGGGGATCGCAAAAGGGAGAGGGCCTTGACTCCCAGACCCTCGCTGCTGCTCGTCTTGGTCAGCTCCCAGGGTCTGGCCCTTGGAGGACCAGGGCTCTTTTTTTTTTTTTGCGGCACGCGGGCCTCTCGCTGCTGTGGCCTCTCCCGTTGCGGAGCACAAGCTCCGGACGCGCAGGCTCAGCGGCCATGGCTCACGGGCCCAGCCGCTCCGCGGCATGTGGGAATCTTCGCGGACCGGGGCGCGAACCCGTGTCCCCTGCATCGGCAGGCGGACTCTCAACCACTGCGCCACCAGGGAAGCCACAAGGACCAGGGCTCTTTAACCTCTATCCTGAGTCTGAGGCACAAATGTGCTTGTTCTAGATGCTGAATTGGCACGTCACCTCTGAACCTTAGTTTAACTAACTATAATAGCATGTACTTTAGTCACGGGAGCTCCATCAAATGAACACTGGTGATGACAAGCAAATGCAGTGCATGAATCTTGATTGAACCCTGGACTGGGGGCATTGAGGGTACTCTAAAGGACATTTTGGAGCAACTGGGAAAATGTTTACATGGACTATATATTAGATCATGCTATTGAATTAATGTTTATTTCTTCAGCATGAAAATAGTACTGGGATTATGTAAGAGAGTGTCCTTATGGGTAGGAGATAAATGCTGAAGTATTCAGGAGTGAAGCGTCTGTTGTGACATCTGCAATTTACTTCCAAATGGTTCAGAAAGGAAGTACACATACATAGAGACAAAACAGATGTGGAAAATTTCAACCACTGTTGAATCTGGAGAAATAGCATTTGGATGTTTATTATACTATTCTGTCAACTTTTCTGTAGACTTGAAATTTTTCGAAATAAAAAGATATATGCGGTGGTGTTAAAAAAAAAAAGAGAGAGAGAGAGGGCACTGCACATGTCAGAAGACCTGGGATCTAGTCCGGGTTTTGTAATTAACAGTGGATGGTGGCTACCTTATAGTATAAAAACAAACAAACAAAAACCGCCAGCAAAATCCAGGACAGCGACCTGCTTGGACACAATGTGTCAGGTGCAGTCTGAGTGCTTTACATATATTAACTTGTTTGAATCACCTCAACAACCTGCAATGGATGTTATTTTTTTTTAATTAATTAATTAATCAATTTTTGGCTGCGTTGGGTCTTCGTTGCTGTGCGTGGGCTTTCTCTAGTTGCGGCGAGCGGGGGCTACTCTTTGTTGCAGTGCGTGGGCTTCTCATTGCAGTGGCTTCTCTTGTTGTGGAGCACGGGCTCTAGGCGTACAGGCTTCAGTAGTTGTGGCACGTGGGCTCAGTAGTTGTGGCTCACGGGCTCTAGAGCGCAGGCTCAGTACTTGTGGCGCACGGGCTTAGTTGCTCCACAGCATATGGCATCTTCCCGGACCAGGGCTCGAACCCGTGTTCCCTGCACTGGCAGGCGGATTCTTAACCACTGCACCACCAGGGAAGTCCCTACAATGGATATTATTATTACTGTTTCTAATTTAAATCTGAGGAAACTAGGGGGCAGAAGAGAGCTTAAATAACTGCCCAAGGCCACACAGCTGGCAAGCAGAGTCAGATTTGACCACTACAGTAATGGGGCACCAATGCTTCTGTGAGATCAAATGTGAAAGCACTTTGTTTGTTTGTTTTTTTTGTTAGTTTCAGCTTCACAACAAAATGAATCAGTTATATATATACATATGTTCCCATATCTCTTCCCGCTTGCGTCTCCCTCCCTCCCACCCTCCCTATCCCACCCCTCCAGGCGGTCACAAAGCACCGAGCTCATCTCCCTGTGCTATGCGGCTGCTTCCCACTAGCTATCTACCTTACGTTTGGTAGTGTATATATGTCCATGCCTCTCTCTCGCTTTGTCACAGTTTACCCTTCCCCCTCCCCATATCCTCAAGTCCATTCTCTAGTAAGTCTGTGTCTTTATTCCTGTTTCACCCCTAGGTTCTTCATGTCATTTTTTTTCTTTAAATTCCATATATATGTGTTAGCATACGGTATTTGTCTCTCTCCTTCTGACGTACTTCACTCTGTATGACAGACTCTGGGTCTATCCACCTCATTACAAATAGCTCAATTTCGTTTCTTTTTATGGCTCAGTAATATTCAATTGTATATATGTGCCACATCTTCTTTATCCATTCATCCGATGATGGACATTTAGGTTGTTTCCATCTCCGGGCTATTGTAAACAGAGCTGCAATGAACATTTTCGTACATGACTCTTTTTGAATTATGGTTTTCTCAGGGTATATGCCCAGTAGTGGGATGGCTGGGTCATATGGTAGTTCTATTTGTAGTTTTTAAAGGAACCTCCATACTGTTCTCCACAGTGGCTGTATCAATTTACATTCCCACCAACAGTGTAAGAGGGTTCCCTTTTCTCCACACCCTCTCCAGAATTTATTGTTTCTAGATTTTTTGATGATGGCCATTCTGACTGGTGTGAGATGATACCTCATTGTAGTTTTGATTTGCATTTCTCTAATGATTAGTGATGTTGAGCATTCTTTCATGTGTTTGTTGGCAGTCTGTATATCTTTGGAGAAATGTCTATTTAGGTCTTCTGCCCATTTTTGGATTGGGTTGTTTGTTTTTTTGTTATTAAGCTGCATGAGCTGCTTATAAATTTTGGAGATTAATCCTTTGTCAGTTGCTTCATTTGCAATTATTTTCTCCCATTCTGAGGGTTGTCTTTTGGTCTTGTTTATGGTTTCCTTTGCTGCGCAAAAGCTTTTAAGTTTCATTAGGTCCCATTTGTTTATTTTTGTTTTTAATTTCCATTTCTCTAGGAGGTGGGTCAAAAAGGACCTTGCTGTGATTTATGTCATAGAGTGTCCTGCCTATGTTTTCCTCTAAGAGTTTGATAGTTTCTGGCCTTACATTTAGGTCTTTAATCCACCTTGAGCTTATCTTTGTGCAGGGTGTTAGGGAGTGATACAATCTCATACTTTTACATGTAGCTGTCCAGTTTTCCCAGCACCACTTATTGAAGAGGCTGTCCTTTCTCCACTGTACATTCCTGCCTCCTTTATCATAGATATGGTGACCATATGTGCGTGGGTTTATCTCTGGGCTTTCTATCCTGTTCCAGTGATCTATATTTCTGTTTTTGTGCCAGTACCATACTGTCTTGATTACTGTAGCTTTGTAGTATAGTCTGAAGTCAGGAAGCCTGATTCTTCCAGCTCCGTTTTTCGTTCTCAAGATTGCTTTGGCTATTCGGGGTCTTTTGTGTTTCCATACAAATTGTGAAATTTTTTGTTCTAGTTCTGTGAAAAATGCTAGTGGTAGTTTGATAGGGATTGCATTGAATCTGTAGATTGCTTTGGGTAGTAGAGTCATTTTCACAATGTTGATTCTTCCAATCCAAGAACATGGTATATCTGTCCATCTATTTGTATCATCTTTAATTTCTTTCATCAGTGTCTTATAGTTTTCTGCATACAGGTCTTTTGTCTCCTTAGGTAGGCTTATTCCTAGATATTTTATTCTTTTTGTTGCAATGGTAAATGGGAGTGTTTTGTTGATTTCACTTTCAGATTTTTCATCCTTAGTGTATAGGAATGCAAGAGATTTCTGTGCATTAATTTTGAATTCTGCTACTTTACCAAATTCATTGATTAGCTCTAGTAGTTTTCTGGTAGCATCTTTAGGATTCTCTATGTATAGTATCATGTCATCTGCAAATAGTGACAGCTTTACTTCTTCTTTTCCAGTTTGGATTCCTTTTATTTCCTTTTCTTCTCTGATTGATGTGGCTAAAACTTCCAAAACTATGTTGAATAAGAGTGGTGAGAGTGGGCAACCTTGTCTTGTTCCTGATCTTAGTGGAAATGCTTTCAGTTTTTCACCACTGAGGACGATGTTGGCTGTGGGTTTGTCATATATGGCCTTTATTATGTTGAGGAAAGTTCCCTCTATGCCTACTTTCTGCAGGGTTTTTATCATAAATGGGTGTTGAATTTTGTCAAAAGCTTTCTCTGCATCTATTGAGATGATCATGTTTTTTCTCCTTCAATTTGTTAATATGGTGTATCACGTTGATTGATTTGCGTATATTGAAGAACCCTTGCATTCCTGGAATAAACCCCACTTGATCATGGGGTATGATCCGTTTAATGTGCTGTTGGATTCTGTTTGGTAGTATTTTGTTGAGGATTTTTGCATCTATGTTCATCAGTGATATTGGCCTGTAGTTTTCTTTCTTTGTGACATCCTTGTCTGGTTTTGGTATCAGGGTGATGGTGGCCTCGTAGAATGAGTTGGGGAGGGTTCCTCCCTCTGCTATATTTTGGATGAGTTTGAGAAGGATAGGTGATAGCTCTTCTACAAATGTTTGATAGAATTCGCCTGTGAAGCCATCTGGTCCTGGGCTTTTGTTTGTTGGAAGATTTTTAATCACAGTTTCAATTTCAGTGCTTGTGATTGGTCTGTTCATATTTTCTATTTCTTCCTGATTCAGTCTTGGCAGGTTGTGCCTTTCTAAGAACTTGTCCATTTCTTCCAGGTTGTCCATTTTATTGGCATAGAGTTGCTTGTAGTCATCTCTCATGATCTTTTGTATTTCTGCAGTGTCAGTTGTTACTTCTCCTTTTTCATTTCTAATTCTATTGATTTGAGTCTTCTCCCTTTTTTTCTTGATGAGTCTGGCTAATGGTTTATCAATTTTGTTTATCCTTTCAAAGAACCAGCTTTCAGTTTTATTGATCTTTGCTATCGTTTCTTTCATTTCTTTTTCATTTATTTCTGATGTGATCTTTATGATTTCTTTCCTTCTGCTAACTTTGGGGTTTTTTTTGTTCTTCTTTCTCTAATTGCTTTAGGTGCAAGGTTAGGTTGTTTATTCGAGATGTTTCCTGTTTCTTAAGTAGGATTGTATTGCTATAAACTTCCCTCTTAGAACTGCTTTTGCTGCATCCCATAGATTTTGAGTCGTCGTGTCTCCATTGTCATTTGTTTCTTGGTATTTTTTGATTTCCTCTTTGATTTCTTCCGTGATCACTTCGTTATTAAGTAGTGTATTGTTTAGCCTCCATGTGTTTGTATTTTTTACAGATCTTTTCCTGTAATTGATATCTAGTCTCATAGCGTTGTGGTCGGAAAAGATACTTGATACAATTTCAGTTTTCTTAAATTTACCAAGGCTTGATTTGTGACCCAAGATATGATCTATCCTGGAGAATGTTCCATGAGCACTTGAGAAAAATGGGTATTCTGTTGTTTTTGGATGGAATGTCCTATAAATATCAATTAAGTCCATCTTGTTTAATGTATCATTTAAAGCTTGTGTTTCCTTATTTATTTTCATTTTGGATGATCTGTCCATTGGTGAAAGTGGGGTGTTAAAGTCCCCTACTATGAAAGTGTTTGTGTCGATTTCCCCTTTTATGGCTGTTAGTATTTGCCTTATGTATTGAGGTGCTCCTATGTTGGGTGCATAAATATTTACAATTGTTATATCATCTTCTTGGATCGATCCCTTGATCATTATGTAGTGTCCTTCTTTGTCTCTTCTAATAGCCTATATTTTAAAGTCTATTTTGTCTGATACGAGAATTGCTACTCCAGCTTTCTTTTGGTTTCCTTTTGCATGAAATACCTTTTTCCATCCCCTTTCAGTCTGTATGTGTCTCTAGGTCTGAAGTGGGTCTCTTCTAGACAGCAAATATATGCATCTTGTTTTTGTATCCATTCAGCCAATCTGTGTCTTTTGGTGGGAGCATTCAGTCCATTTACATTTAAGGTAATTATCGATATGTATGTTCCTATTCCCATTTTCTTAATTGTTTTGGGTTCGTTATTGTAGGTCTTTTCCTTCTCTTCTGTTTCTTGCCTAGAGAAGTTCCTTTAGCAGTTGTTGTAGAGCTGGTTTGGTGGTGCTGAACTCTCTCAGCTTTTGCTTCTCTGTAAAGGTTTTAATTTCTCCATCAAATCTGAATGAGATCCTTGCTGGGTAGAGTTATCTTGGTTGCAGGTTTTTCTCCTTCATCACTTTCAATATGTCCTGCCACTCCCTTCTGGCTTGCGGAGTTTCTGCTGAAAGATCAGCTGTTAACCTTATGGGGATTCCCTTGTGTGTTATTTGTTGTTTTTCCCTTGCTGCTTTTAATATGTTTTCTTTGTATTTAATTTTTGACAGTTTGATTAATATGTGTCTTGGCGTATTTCTCCTTGGATTTATCCTGTATGGGACTCTCTATGCTTCCTGGACTTGATTAACTATTTCCTTTCCCATATTAGGGAAGTTTTCAACTATAATCTCTTCAAATATTTTCTCAGTCCCTTTCTTTTTCTCTTCTTCTTCTGGAACCCCTGTAATTCGAATGTTGGTGCGTTTAATGTTGTCCCAGAGGTCTCTGAGACTGTCCTCAGTTCTTTTCATTCTTTTTTCTTTATTCTGCTCTGTAGTAGTTATTTCCACTATTTTATCTTCCAGGTCACTTATCCGTTCTTCTGCCTTCTGCTATTGATCCCATCTAGAGTATTTTTCATTTCATTTATTGTGTTGTTCATCATTGTTTCATCTTTAGTTCTTCTAGGTCCTTGTTAACTGTTTCTTGCATTTTCTCTATTCTATTTCCAAGATTTTTTATCATCTTTACTATCATTATTCTGAATTCTTTTTCAGGTAGACTGCCTATTTCCTCTTCATTTGTTAGGTGTGGTGGGTTTTTATCTTGCTCCTTCATCTGCTGTGTGTTTTTCTGTCTTTTCATTTTGCTTATCTTACTGTGTTTGGGGTCTCCTTTTTGCAGGCTGAAGGTTCGTAGTTACTGTTGTTTTTGGTGTCTGTCCCCAGTGGCTAAGGTTGGTTCAGTGAGTTGTGTAGCCTTCCTGGTGGAGGGTACTAGTGCCTGTGTTCTGGTGGATGAGGCTGGATCTTGTCTTTCTGGTGGGCAGGTCCACGTCTGGTGGTGTGTTTTGGGGTGTCTGTAGACTTATTATGATTTTGGGCAGCCTCTCTGCTAATGGGTGGGGTTGTGTTCCTGTCTTGCTAGTTGTTTGGCATAGGATGTCCAGCACTGTAGCTTGCTGGTTGTTGAGTGAAGCTGGGTGCTGGCATTGAGATGGAGATCTCTGGGATATTTTCACCGTTTGATATTATGTGGAGCTGGGAGGCCTCTTGTGGACCAGTGTCTTGAAGTTGGCTCTCCCACCTCAGAGGCACAGCACTAACTCCTGGCTGCAGCACCAAGAGCCTTTCATCCACACGGCTCAGAAGAAAAGGGAGAAAAAGTAGAAAGAAAGAATTAGTAGAAGTAGAAAGAAAGAAAGGAGGGAGGGAGGGAGCAAGAAAGGAAGGAGGGAAGGAAGGAAAAAAAGAAAGAAGACAAAGTAAAATAAAATAAAGATAAAATATAATGAAGTTATTAAAATAAAGAAATAATTATTAAGAGGAAAAAAAACAAAACAAAAAAACGGATGGATAGAACCCGGAACAAATGGTGGAAGCAAAGCTATACAGACAAAATCTCACACAGAAGCATACACATACACACTCAGAAAAAGAGGAAAAGAGGAAAAAGTCATAAATCTTGCTCTCAAAGTCCACCTCCTTAATTTGGGATGATTCGTTGTCTATTCAGGTATTCCACAGATGCAGGGTACATCAAGTTGATTGTGGAGCTTTAATCCGCTGCTTCTGTGGCTGCTGGGAGAGATTTCCCTTTCTTTTCTTTGTTCTCACAGCTCCCAGGGGCTCAGCTTTGGATTTGGACCCGCCTGTGCGTGTAGGTCGCCGGAGAGCGTCTGTTCTTTGCTCAGACAGGACAGGGTTAAAGGAGCCGCTGATTCGGAGGCTCTGGCTCACTCAGGCCGGGGCGAGGGAGGGGCACGGAGTGCAGGGCGAGCCTGCAGCGGCAGAGGCCAGCGTGACGTTGCACCAGCCTGAGGCGTGCCGTGCGTTCTCCCGGGAGGTTGTCCCTGGATCCCGGGACCCTGACAGTGGCGGGCTGCTCAGGCTCCCAGAAGGGGTTGTGGATAGTGACCTGTGTTCGCACACAGGCTTCTTGGTGGGGGCAGCAGTGGCCTTAGCGTCTCATGCCCGTCTCTGGGGTCCGTGCTGTTAGCCGCGGCTCGCGCTCGTCTCTGGAGCTCCTTTAAGCAGCGCTCTTAATCCCCTCTCCTCGCGCACCAGGAAACAAAGAGGTAAGAAAAAGTTTCTTGTCTCTTCGGCAGGTCCAGACTTTTCCCCGGACTCCCTCCCGGCTAGCCGTGGCACACTAACGCCCTGCAGGCTGTGTTCACACCGCCAACCCCAGTCCTCTCCCTGCGCTCCGACTGAAGCCCGAGCCTCAGCTCCCAGCCCCGCCCACCCCGGCCTCTCGGCTGGTGAGTGCCGGTCGGCACCAATCCTCTGTGCAGGAATCTCCCCGCTTTGCCCTCCGCACCCCTGCTGCTGTGCTCTCCTCCGCGGCTCCGAAGCTTCCCCCTCAGCCACCCGCAGTCTCTGCCCACGAAGGGGCTTCCTAGTGTGTGGACACTTTTCCTCCTTCACAGCTCCCTCCAGCTTGTGCAGGACCTGTCCCTATCCTTTTGTCTCTGTCTATTCTTTTTTCTTTTGCCCTACCCAGGTACGTGGGGGGTTTCTTGCCTTTGGGGAGGTCTGAGGTCTTCTGCCAGCGTTCATTAGGTGTTCTGTAGGAGTTGTTCCACGTGTAGATGTATTTCTGGTGTATCTGTGGGGAGGAAGGTGATCTCCGCGTCTTACTCTTCTGCCATCTTCCCGGAAGTCTCATGAAAGCACTTTGAAGAGGACGGAACACTACACAGATGCAGTGTTGTTGTATTATCTTACCTGGTCCAGAAGAGCGAGACAATTCTGGAACTCAGTGGCACAGAGGGCCTGGACCAACCTGTGGCCAGCAGAGGGCAGCACGTGGCCGGCAGGGGCTGGAGAGGGCCGGCCCATCCCCTTGGCCCTGAATTGCAGCGAGAACTGGGGAACACGGGCCCCACCCTCAGCAAGCAGCAAAAATGGCTTTCGCCATCGGGCGAACAAGAGAAAGACCCCCGAAAATGCCTGCCAGGCGTTACCTCCTCGGCGCCAGTGACCGAGTACGCGTGCCCTTTCACCAGCTTCTGGAAGGTGATGGCCTCCGAGTCTGCAGCACTGGTGATCTGGAAATGTGGGAGAATCAGTCCCAGGCCGGCCGCCTCCCTCCCTCCCTCCCTCCCTCCCTCCCTCTGTCGCTCAGGGCTCAGCAGGGCCTTGGCCCGGGTGGAGGGCTCTCGCTCCCGCCTGGAGGCCCACCTACTACTTCTTTGAGGCGCTGCCCGGCTATTCACAACCAGAGAAGAGGCCGAGGGCAGCCCTCTGGGAGAGCAGCGCTTGCACTCGTGTGTGCCCGGCGCGGTCACAAATTCCCGCAGGAAAGGGCACACCGTGGAGGGGACTCAGGACACACACCTGGACGGCATCGGCGGCCCAGGTGCGCTGAGTCCCCTGAAACTGCGAGGGCTGCCCCACCCACTGCAGGGTTTACACTAGGACAGCCGTTCGTTTCTGCCTGACTTCAGAATTGGCTTCTGTTCTACTAGAACTTCCCCAGTCATTCCTTCCCCATCTGTTCTGATGGAGGTTGTTATTTTTGTCTGGGTCAATGAGAAGGGCTGTGTCGGAGTAGAAAGGGTCTCTGCCATGCAAACATGGTTTGCAGAGAAAGTCTGAGAATCCCTGCCTAGAGTCAGACAGAGACTTGGGCCCCCAGAGCCACACTTCTTACCCCTGTCCCCACAGGGACCAGAGCTAGGACAGGGCTCCAGTGCCGGGCACAGGCAAAGCCTGGAGGCTCCTTGGGGACAGGGGTTGTGCCCACCTCCCTTCCTCTGGTGACGTTCACCAGCAAGGGTGGCACGTGGGAATGGTTCCTTCCTGTGCCTTCTGAAGTCTTGCCACGGGCCCCTTAACCCTGCAGCAGTGGAGGGAAGGCTGCTGGGCTCCCTGCGGTCATAGGCCCCGCAGGTGGGGCAGAAGGTGTCTAGAATGGTCCTGCCTTGGGCCCAGCAGAGGGCAGGGGACTCTCAGGGAAGCTGTGGTCCGGGGTGGTGAGTCCGAGGAGGCTGAGGGTTGTAAGCAGGTGGGAGAAGGAAAGGCTGGGGTCACCATCGCCCCAGCGGCTGTACCCCAGCCAGCCGGGTGGTTGCCTAGCCGCCCCTGGGCTCTGGGTGAGGTGCACTATGGTGGACAAAGGATGCGCCAACCGTGTGGGGAATGAGGGCAGTGGGTCTCTTTGGTCACTGTTGGCGGAGGCTCCCTTCAGCTAGAGCAGATGGGGGTGCGGCCAGGGAGGGAGGCCTGGACTTACATCGATAGAGCAGCCAAGCAGAGAGCCTTTCTGCAGAGCTTTCTGGATGATCCTGAACAGGTTGGGAGGGGCCTTCCTTAACTCATACCACTCGGCGATGCCTCCGGTGAAGTCCTCGAAGCCCTCAGTGGTGGCACCCCCGGAGAGTGCTTCGTAACACCCATTGATCCTGCAGGGAGGGGACAGATGCCGCTGCCACCTGGTGCGGACACTTCTCTTCTCAGAGTGCCCCTCCCCCCACGCCTCTTTTGTTGGATGCTGCAGGGACCCCCTGCTCGGTCTTGCCTTGGTTTGTCTCCACCTCCGGGTGCCCACGAGGGCCAGTGACTGTCGCCAAAGCTACCACTGCCTGGTACTTGGTGAAGGTTTTGGAAAAATCTCACAGAACCTTAAGAGTTAGGAAGGACCTCGGTGTTTATCTGGCCCAACCTCCTGTATTGATTCTTTCTACATCCTGGCAGGAAAGGGGAGGTCTGCTAAATTGGCTGTTTGGCATTTATAGCTTAAAAGAAAACAGTTCAGTAATGAAAGCAGCTTCCGTGTGCTGTGTTAGGAGGGGCTGGTCTCTCCCCATGGCGATGTTGGCGCCCTGTGGCTTCCCTAACTCTACTGTTAAAGCATAAGACTTAGTAGCATCTCAGGCCCCAGATTCTCACAGCTGGGTGTGTGACTCCTGGCCCTCCTCCCTGGCAGGGGCTGGAAGGAACAGAAATCCTCCTGATGCCTGAGAGCCGGTCATTTTCCCAGAGGGAGCCCAGACAGCAGGGCCAGGACCCGGCCACTCTGGAGGGGGGCCGACGTGGGCGTCCCGCTGAGAACGGGCAGTGCTGAGCGCTGGACAGGCTCGACTCCGGGCAGCCTGGGGGGGGCGGGGGCCCGGCTGGGGAAACCAGTTTTACTCAGCGTATTATGTACTGTGGGCAAGTCTGCATCATTTTCATACCTCTGCAGTGGATAGTTTTGCCCACGGGCAGCAACTCTTTGCTGTATTTAGCTGACAAAAATGTAACATGACCTGCCAAGGAAGCAGAGGCCCTTCTCAAGGCCAGCACGATCAGTACCATGACTTGTTCCTGTGCATTTGGTTAAAAACGGCAAGAGCTGGGTGCGTTATCTCCTAGAATTGAGAGCCCAATCTTGTCCAAAGTAGTCCTTCTGTACCAGAGGACTTCTCTTCGGGACAGCCCTCGCCTAAGTCCCGTGTTGCTTCCCAGAATGCAGGGCAGCTGGGGGCAGGCTGCGGGGGGACGGGCACGGCAGGCACTTACTTGGCGTAGGCCTTCTCCAGCAGCGCGCTCCAGAACTCACTGCCCTCTACCGAGTGCACGAAGAGCAGCTCCCCGTCCTTGGTGGGCAGCCTGTCGTCCACCACCACCTCCACCCATTCGCCGTACTGCCAGAACTGCAGGAGGGGGAGGTGGCGGCAGTGTGCGGGGGGTCGTGAGCCTCAGCTGCAGCTGGCTCCTCCCTGCCCGGCCCCTGGGCGCCGGTTCCCCAAGCCCATCGCATCCCCGAGGAGACGCTCCCCTCTAGCCCTCCTCCTGCAGGTACAGCCTCGCTGAGAAACGAGCGCAGAGGCACCTGCCCTTCCCTCCCAGGCCACACCTGCCCCTCCAGCCTTACGCTTTTCAAAATGCTATTTCTCCTTTACCGGCATAAAAGGAGAACAGCGAGCGGTACCTTAACATTTTGTCTCAGACCCCAAATGGTCAACTTTCTTAAAGAAATGTGGGAATTACTTCCTGAGTGCCCTGCCCTACCGCCCTCCTCCGCATTGCTGTCCTTACAGGGTCCCAGGGCGACGACAGGCCAGGCAGCTTCCTGCTGTCTCTCAGTGTCCTTGCCTGGCCCCCAGCACCTGCTCCTAGCCCTCAGGACCTGCTCAGGAGAAGCTCGAGCCAACTCTTAAGTTACCTGGAAGTGGAAGATCCCCGCGTAGTTCTCCTGGAAGCTCTGGTCCAAGGGGACGACTCGGGCCAGGACTTCTTCATTCAAGGTGAGGGAGGCAATGGCTGCCAGTAGCCAGCAGTCACCTGTGAACACGGTGTAAGGAGCTCTCATCAGACAGGTTCAGTGCCGGGAGGATGCTAAACCTCTTGTGCCCACCTCTGGCACTTGAGGCCTAAGGTGAGCCCGGCACAGATGTTCCCCCCCGGTCCTCACACGAGGGCTATGGAGGAGGGCTGGGGTGATGCTTTGAGGGAATGCTGAGGGAGAAATGTTTTTGCTGTGATAGTTGAGATGGGAGAATTCATTCCCTGAAGAACCCAGAACCCGGTGATGGCTGGACTGTGTCCTCACAGCCGGCTCTGGGCCTGGTCCACTGAAGGTGCATGGCAGCGATCATGTGTGGAGTGAGGACTCCAACTCAGCAGCAGAGGCTTCTGACAACACAGGGTTTAAAAGTGGGCGAGTTTGAGGGAGAGGAAGAAGACACCGGCAGGCAGCCCCATGGACGCAAATGCAAGAGCCAGAATCTGAGGAGGCACCCTGGGCTATCTCCCTGAGGACGGGCGAGGAACACCTCTGGGCGGGTGTGTGGGTACCACACGTGGGAGTCAAAGATGGGGACAGTCAGATGGTCAGCTGTCTGGCAGCCTGGCCTCCCCTTAGCCTCGGTGCCCTCCTCTGCGACACGTTGAGTAACTGGGAGGTGTGACGAGAGCATGTGTGTAAAGCACACACCCATTTCAGGGGGTCAGAAGCAAGCTGGTGGCGGGGAGGGGTCATGTTTGCCACGAGATAAAAGGCCCGACTGATGGGGGCGTTCTGGGACGAGGATGAGGAAGTTTACTCCATTCTTTTTTTTTCTTTTTTTTTGGTACGTGGCCTCTCACTGCTGTGGCCTCTCCTGTTGCGGAGCACAGGCTCCAGACACGCAGGCTCAGCGGCCATGGCTCACGGGCCCAGCCGCTCCGCGGCACGTGGGATCTTCCCGGACCGGGGCACGAACCCGTGTCCCCTGCATCGGCAGGCGGACTCTCAACCACTGCGCCAGCAGGGAAGCCCAGTTTACTCCATTCTTAAGGAATGTGCACTTTCCTACAATTTCCCATGACAAGAATAGGAAATAGCCTCAGATGAGTTTGATTTCCATGGCTGGGTAATTGGCAGGTCTATTAAAAGTGTTACTGAAGGACTTCCCTGGTGGCGCAGTGGTTAAGAATCCGCCTGCCAATGCAGGGGACACAGGTTTGAGCCGCGATCTGGGAAGATCCCACATGCCGCGGAGCAACTAAATCCATGCGCCACAACTACCAAGCCTGTGCTCTGAAGCCTGCGAGCCACAACTACTGAGCCTGTGAGCCACAACTACTGGAGCCCATGCTCCGCAACAAGAGAAGCCACTGCAATGAGAAGCCCACGCACCGCAACGAAGAGTAGCCCCCTCTCGCCGCAACTAGAGAAAGCCCGTGCGCAGCAACGAAGACCCAACGCAGACAAAAATAAATAAATAAAAATAAGTTAAAAAATATTTTTTTAAATGTCAACTCTTTTTAAAGAGTGTTACTGAAATTCACCGCAATCTTTGAATTCTGTGGACTAGTTGGTGTCCTGAGAGTTGCTGAACCGACTGACCTGCTAACACTTAGCAATGACGGGGGAACAGCTCTGAGGCCTCTAGGTGCTCAAGCCGGCCCTGTGGGAAGTGGAAGCACACCTCTCCCTAACCAGCCAGTCAGTAGCCAAAGGAAGTTAAATCCCTTTGCTCCTTAGGTTGGGCGGCCGCTGTGGGTTCACCGCAGTTTTCCACTCAGCGGCCATCTCTTCCCTCCTGGCGCCACCAGTGACCCTCCGGGAAGCAAGTCTCCCTGCCTGAGAGGTTTGGGTAGCGCTGGCCCTGCCCCCAGTTCCAGAGGTGGATCTTCAGCAAGCTGGGCTGCATGTTCTCTGGTTTCAGTGGTTCACTTGGGGAAGGTTCTGCCATCCAGCCAGAGCCAGGGAGGTGCGAGGAGACCACTCCTGGGGCTTCAGAGAGAGTGGACAGGTGCCCTCTTCTACTGCATTGGCTCTACAATGAGGGGCGGCCTACTGCTGAAGCCGTCTTGCAGCCAACTCAGAGGGAGAGGGCCTGAGAGCTGGAGAGAGAGAAACCATGTCCTGGTGTCATTACTTGAGTCCCTGTATCAAGCTGTACCTGAAGCCACACCTGCCTTGAACTTCTCAGTTCCAAGAACTGGTCAAGTCCCTATTTCCTGACCCATTAGCCAGGGCTACCAGTTCCTGCCTCCTGACTGCTAGGGGAGCTTGGGCAATAGCCATGACTGATGAGGCCTTCCTATGTGCCAGCCACTGTCCTAGGAGCTGCAGGTTCATCATTTCATTTATTTCTCACAACAGCTCTATGAGGATGGTGCTATGACCATCTCCATGTTAAAAGCTGAGAATGACAAGGCTTAGGAGGTTAAGTGCACTGCCAACAGTAAAACACTGCAAGGAAGAGTTTAAAAGGTGTGGTGTTTGTCAGATCTCAGAGACAACCTTCTGGGTCAACTAGATCTTTATATAAACCAAACTAGAGACACACTCTTTGACACAGTGAGAATAGGAGCTTGCAGAGAAACTTGGCAGTGAGGGTTTTAAGCACTGGCCCTGCGGAAGCAGCCCCCGGTTGGTGAGGATGGAAATCTATGTAGAGGAGCTCTTCCCGGCTTGATTCCGTACGCTGCCTTGTAGGAACCACACTGTCATTGAAACAGACGACATTCAGGCCTTTTCTGAGCACCCACCCCCCTCTCACTTAGACCTTATCATGCTGTCTGCCCTGGAGGATGACTACACCAAGTGACAGCTGCTCTTCGAGTCATGAGATCCTCCTTTTCAATCTATTCCCCTTCCTCCAACTTCAGATCTTCTCCTGACTTTAGTCCTTCTTTGAGAACCTGGAGATGACTGTGATTCTATTTTCCTTGAGGTTATTTGAGATTTTCTAGGAATCTTGGAAAATGACTTGGGTCTGTCAATACATGGAGGCAGACAGGCGTGTGGATAAAGTGGGCCCAAGTGTAGGAACTTCAGCGACATTTGTCCTGAAACCAGTTATTCCCATGGTTCCTGTAGCTCTTCTGTCAAATCCTCGGAAGAGCTGCCCACTCTGTCTGACTCTGGGAGGGCCATTCTAACGCCCTCCTGGTTCTCTTTCCCTTGGTGCCAAGAGTCGATGCCTTTACCTTGTGCATGTGTGTAGGCAACACACGAGTGTGTGTCTGCAGGACCTGTCGGTTGCTTTTTAGCGTTGGAGGTCACGGCTGACTGTGCTATTTGTGGGACAGTGACTGAATTCAGGTAGTGATGCCTTTTCCTTTTTTTTTTTCTTTTTGTGGGTCATACATCTAGGTCAGTGCTGACCGTACATGTGTCTCAGATTACCGCTCACCACCAGACCTGGACGTTCTTGCGACATCCCAGAAATCAGTGGCCACGGCTCCCTGTTTCACGGGAGAGTTTCACGGCTCCCTGTTTTTTTCCTTCGTGTCCCAGAAGTATTTTTCCTGGTCATCCTGAGAGGAGCAAGGCCTCATCTCCCCCTGCCCTTCAGAGAGGATTGCTTTCTTCATCCCTTCCTATTCCAATCTAACATGTTTCCTCTGAAAGGATTCATAATCCTAGAATGTCTCCTAGACCACAAAACTGTACCTTTTAGAGATTAAGTTACAAAAAAAAAAAGGGAATTCCCTGGTGGTCCAGTGGTTAGGACTCTGCGCTTTCACTGCTGGGGCCCAGGTTCAATCCCTGGTCAGAGAATTAAGATCCCTCGAGCTGTACAGTGTGGCCAAACAAAAAAAAAGAGAGAGAGATTAAGTTACTTTCTTGAGGTCACAGGTCCTGGAAAGGGGGACCTGTGCAGGGACAGGAATCTAGGCTCTTAACTTCTGGTCTGTGCTCCTTCCGCCAGAAGGAATGAAAGAAGTAACAAGTAGTTAACATTGTGTATAATACTCTGCAATTACAAAGAACATGGTCCACATCTTATTTGATCCTTACAGAAATCTTATGATTATCCTAATTATTATCACCTTTTTTGGACGAAGCTCAGGAGTCTGTGTTCTACACAGTTAGCAGGTCTTAACATGTAAATCCTCTGAATACAAATCCTGGGTTTTGTTTAAAAACCATACCTTGCTGAAGATTTCCTATGGTTAAGAGTATCTGATTCTTCTAACTAGGGAAAGACCCCACTTCTAACTAGGAAAATCCAACTGCAATTCAAATTTAAAACTAAGGGGTAACAAGTTGGCAGCTTCCTGAAATCCTATATTGTATCTTAATACCCCAATATCCTTGGCTCAGAAATATTAAAACGTATCACCCGGGCTTCCCTGGTGGCGCAGTGGTTGGGAGTCCGCCTGCCAATACAGGGGACGTGGCTTCGTGCCCCAGTCCGGGAGGATCCCATGTGCCGCGAAGCGGCTGGGCCCGTGAGCCATGGCCGCTGGGCCTGTGCGTCCGGAGCCTGTGCTCCGCAGCGGGAGGGGCCGCGGCAGTGAGAGGCCTGCATACGGCAAAAAAAGAAAAAACAAAACAAAAACAAAACAAAAAACAAACAAACAAAAAAACGTATCACCCATTCAATGCAGTGCAATTCCTTACAGCAACAGGAGGATGGCCTGTCACTGCACAGCCAAGACCCTGGCACTAAGATCACAGCACAAGCAAGAAGAAACAAGAGTTAGATGCATTTTACAGTCAAAGGTTCAAAGTTTTTTTATCAGGTCTCCAAATTCTGGAGTTGAGGGAGACTTAGAGCCACTTAGAAGAACATCTTGATGTCTAATAAGGTGGAAGCTTTGAAATCCTATTGTATTATTCTGATTTCTTAACTTTCTCCCTCACCCCACGCAGCAAAATATTTTTAACTAAGTTGGGAAGCTCCCTTATGTAGAGCCCATTTTTAAAGTTTATTTAATATCTGCTCATATAAGCTTTCTCAGTTACAAGATCTGAAGACAACGGTTATCGCAGTTTACACTCACGGAGATGTGACTTACTGTGTGCCAGGCCCTGTGCTGAAATGCTTTACATGCCTTGCAAA